GGTACCAACTTGAAACACGTTTATAACGATCATGTGAATACCGACATGTCATACGACGAATTTTGCGCGTTGTGCCGCGACTGTTGGCAACAAAAATATGGATTCGTAATGATAGACAAAGATAGTGCGCTCACAAATGGACGATACCAAAAAGGATTTAACGAGTTCGCGATACCGTAACGTGACCAGTCGTTGTCGATACTTAGCCACGGACGAACATGGCAGATGTGCGCGAGCGTGAAAAAATCGCGAGGGAGATCGAGAAGACGAGCGAGTCGATCCGAAAAAAACATCGCGTTGGATAGACATTTTAAACCTCTTATCGAGCCGCTGCGACTTTTCGTCGACAGCCCCGGCAAGCGCGCGACAAAGAGAGAGCCGCGCGACGAAGATGCAGCGTCCACCCCTAAACGTGAGAGGAAGGAGGAGCAACAAGAGGAGGGAGGGGCGAGCGAGACGTTCGGACATTTCGCGACCCCGCGTAAATTCGATGATCTATCGCACGATCGTGTACAACCGACAACCTCCACTCCACGTACAGCGATCATACCGACGATAGAATCGTTGGAGAACGTTTTCGAAACGACGGAAGACTCGTTACCAACGAAGGTTCAAAATCAGCTGCAAACGTCGGAAGGTCGAGAGACGTTGCGAGCCAGCTTGGGCCCGCTGAGTCAAAAGTACGGCTGTTCTGAGGGGAGCGCGAGGAAAAGAGAAGAGCGATATAGATCAAGTGTACGGCGTTTACCTACACAGGGATGGATTGATGTTTGGCAATAAACGTTTCGACGTGGATAACGCGGACAATATAATTATCGATGGCGTACGATATAATTATTTATCGATGGCCGGTACACTCGGTCTTTATGAATTGATTTTCAAAAGAATGCCTGACGAACTCCTCTACACGGAAGACGATATGAACAAGTACAAGAGCATGCTGCTGGCGACGAACGCGCATAAACACAAGCATCATTCCCTGGGTCGAATATCGGGCAACAGGGGACACAAGTACAAATACGTAATCGCGCCATTGATGTCGATGACACCCAAGAAACAGATTCAGAAATCTGGAAAGGGATTACCTCGCGCAATGACGCTAAACGATAACGCGATCGATTACGTGCACTGGGACGATCCCAACGAGTTGGTGGATCGTCTACGATTGCTCGACGCTTCGCACACCGAGCAGGGAACAACGCTCACGACAACGAGATGCAGTCGATCATCGAGGAACTCCGCGAAGCAGGTCTTATTATAAATTAAATCGTATCGATGAACCGAGTCAGTCGAGTGACAACGGGGAGAAAAAATACATTATTTTCTTGTGTATTACACGTCGAATCATGAAAAAGAGATCCGATGAAAAGAGAAAAATTAGCTCCGAGAGACGTTGACTCGTCGAGGAATTGCACGCTCCTGCGAGAAGAAATTTTCCGCGAAGGCGCGTCATTGTCCGGGGATATGATGATCTGTGGCAAGCTGACATCGTCGAAATGCATCCATACTCGCGTTTCAACAGAGGTCATCATTACATACTCACCGTCATCGATGTGTTGAGCAAGTATGCGTGGGCCATACCGCTCAAGAGTAAAGGTGGAAGCGAGACGGCTGAAGCTATCGATGAGATACTTCGAAAGAGCAAGAGATGTCCAAAAAACCTACAAACCGATATGGGAAAAGAATTTTACAACGTTGATGTGCAACGGCTCTTGAAAAAACACAACATCAATCATTGTTCCACGTACTCCGTAATGAAAGCATCAGTCGTCGAACGATTCAATCGCACATTAAAAAACGACATGTGGAAGATGTTTACACTTAACGGGAACTATAAGTGGATCAATGCGCTGTCGCAGTTTGTATCAGATTATAACACGCGCAAGCATCGCACTATCGGCATGTGACCCATCGACGTTACCACGATCGCTGAAAAACTCTTGGCCACGGTATATAGCAACGTAAAGATCGCGAGTCCGGCAAAATTCAAAGTAGGCGATTCGGTACGTGTGAGCAAATATAAAACCGTCTTCGAGAAAGGTTACACGCCAAATTGGACCACCGAGGTGTTTAAAATCGCTAAAGTGCAGCATACTCATCCTGTAACCTATCTACTGGATGACTATCGCGAAAATCTATCTATGAACATGAGTTACATCGCGCGGCTTATACGGACGTGTATCTCGTGGAGAAAGTATTGCGCAGGAGAGGTGACGAGGTTTACGTAAAATGGTTGGGATTCGATGCATCGCATAATTCTTGGATACACAAGGATAATATAATTTAATTCATATAAACTGTATTTTTCATTAAAAATGTATTTATTTTTAAACATAAAAATATATGAAATACATAAGATGTATAAAACGTTTATTATTTATACCCATTTTTTCAATTTAATATATAAAAAATCTTTATTTTTTACTATAAATGTAATACTATACACAGTAATTATTTATACATTTCTATAATAAAATTACAGAAACTTTTTTTTCGTCAAAGGTATTCGATAATGTCCCCATGGTAATGTTTTGGTTGAATTCGGTATAATGTATCGTTTGTCGTCGTACGGACTTAGAGCGATTTTCGTCTCAGATATCGTATATAGGGTAAGGTTGCCGAAATCGCACCATTTTTCATATAATAGCTTATAACTCGGAAAGTAAGAAGGATATTCTCAATTTTTTTGCGGCGTAATAAACTGCAAGCTTTTCCCTTTCATATGTAATTTTTTCAGATTTTTT